TTCACCAAGGCCTTATACAACTGCAGCAAGACTTCCCTACTCTTGTACTCTAACCCTTTTGCAATGAACACTAACATGGTTTTAGCCTTCCTGGTTGTTTGCTGTACCTGCATACTAACTCTTTGTGACTGGTGTACAAGGACACCCAAATCCCTCTGAACACTAACATTACCTAGCCTCTCCCCCTCTAGAAAATAATCCACTTTTCTATTTTTACTACCTAGGTGCATAACTTCACACTTCTCCATGTTATACCCCACCTGCCACCTTCTTGCCCACTCACCTAGCCTGTCTATTTCCCTTTGCATTCTTGGGTCATCCTCACGACTTACTCTCCCAGCAGCTTTGTATCATACGTAAATTTAGATATGTTAAGTTCTATTTCCTCATCGAAATCATTGATATAGACTCTAAATAATTGATGCCCAAGCACTGATCCTTGTGGCACTCGACTACTCACATCCTGTCAATCTGAGAAGGACTCGTTTATCCCTACTCTCTGTTTTCTTCCTGTTTGCCACTCTCCAATCCATGCTAATATATTACCTTTAATTCCATGGGCTCTAATCTTATGCAACAGCCTTTTATGCGGCACCTTGTCGAATGCCTTCTGGAAATGTGAATATTTGTGACATCAACATGGTATTGGGATTTCCATGTTCTTATATCATGGAAGGCACTGCCACAATGGCTGTTGATTCTGAGATCATAATATGTCAAATGTAATTTTATAAATTGGCTAAACATTGAAAAAAAACATAAAAACTTTTATTGGGAATTGGTATTAGAATTGTTAACTGCGGTGGTGGGTCTACTGAAATAGTGAAACTCTGATAACTCATCATCCCAAGGGAAATAGCTCAAATGGCTACTTTTATTTATGAGTTGACATGTTATCCAAAGTACAGTATCTCAAAAGTACAAAGTACTCAAATAGCCGGGATATTGAGTGAGTGACTAGTTACTTGTGGTTGATGACTTATCCCAGAGGTGAGTTATCAGTGTTTCTATTTTTCAGTATGGAATATGAATCATGCTTTACACTTCTTGCTGTACATTGCATTTTTGGATTTTGGAGCAGATTAGAACTGGATACTGTGAACATCAAAGGTCAGAGACCAGCATGTTTCAAATTATTAAACAAATGGTTCCTAGAAGTCTCTAGGCCATTCTATAGCCATGTCCACCACCTTCTCGCTGGTGTGTGGTGAGCCATGTGGGTTGGTGCTACTGTGTGGAACTGAATGCAGCAAAGCTGCACGCAAGCCCAGTTTCTAGTTATCTCCCCACAATGTGTGTCTTATGCTGTCAGTGCTCCAGTTGGTGACCCATTCATTGGCCGGTTGGGCTGCCAGATAGTAGCTTACACCAAACAAACAGAACAGAGCTGCAATGCCTCTAAGCGGTGTTTCGAACAGCACTGTGTGAGAACTGAATATCATCACTGCAGACAGTTTGTGGATGGCATTGGTCTTGCCAGCACATCCAGGTAATTCCTAATCATTGCATTCTAAATTTAAACCCTAGAATTAGACTCCAGTAGAGGATTCAGGCCTGATGCAACTGAGGGAACATAATACAAAAGGAAAAGGAAATCAAAGTCTTAGACATCAGCGTGTTAAGACACTGCATCCTGTGCATGTACAGTGCGTCTTAAATTCTAATGTTCGCATTCATTCTCTTCAGTGGTAGCGCTATCTGGAGGGAGGGTTTAGCACATCTTCTTGTGTAATGTGAATTTGTTTCCTTTGTTGCCAACAGCGGTTCGGAAGCTGAGCTTCGCAGCAGTAGGTAGGCAGAGTAACCAATTTGCGGTTCATGTCTTGAGGTTTAGAAACGAAGGACAAAGTTTGATTGCACACAATTGTATCTGATTAAGAGATATGGGGGAACAAGCCGTAAGTGGGGTTTATAAAAATGATGACTTTAAGCATCAGAGATAGAAATGGCACAAATACAATGGGCCGGTTTGCTATTCACACTTAACTCTCCATCATAACAGATTCACAGCTCCTTGAGTTTTGAAAATATATATATTTCTATGTTTCTAAATCTCAGGAGTCTAAACAACTTGGGTTAGGTATTTGTTGAAAAATCATATCTCGTTGAGCTGTTCTGACAGAGAAACGTATTCAACCACAAATATGAAACAAAACAAAAACTTAATCGCTTAATAGTGGCGGAGCATTACGCCGAGCTGGAGGGCGGAGGTGACCGTAACCATAAATAACTTTCTGATAGAAGTAGATTAATGGAAATGGTGCTGAAAACACATTGGTCACTTAAAGATCTCTTTCAGGTCTCTCTGTACAACCATTGCAATGACAGAGCTGTGAGGACCACACCAATACCTGCTTATCCCTGTCAACATCACTGCTATCTGAAATATCAGTCAAAGCCAATTGTTTTATTAATCCTGAAGCAGTAGTGGAATCAGATAATATAGATGCATTTAAGAGGAAAGTATACCTTCACATGAAAGAGAGAGAGAGGGGAATAGAAGGGTATGGGAGGGAGTAAGAAATGAGTAGAGATTTGTATAGACTAGAAACACTGACACAGACTGTTTGGGCCAAGTAGCCCACTTCTGTACTTTACATTCTTTGAAAATATTTATAAATTCTGATTTAACTGACAGCTTGAGATTGTTAGACAATTGTTAGATTCTTATTGACTCTTCATGTTTGTTTCCTATTGACAGCTCACAGTTTCACACAGTACATGGGAGTCAGGAAATAATAATAATTCATTAATTACACTCAAAGGCATGATTACCTCATGTTCCACAAACTCAGAGAATATTAGACCCCAATCTGTGTGTTTTCACTCTGTGAACATTGTTGATAGCTTTTGACATGTGGTCATGCTTTGATGATAATTGTTTCACTGTCTCCAGAGGTTATGATTCCTGTCTCTCTCATTCCTGCATCGTGATCAAAATTTTCAACTTGACATCTCAGCCCTAGATGGGTGACTTCTCTTCTTTCTGTTGTTTCAGTCCCTCGTCCACGATCAAGATACATGCCAGTCCCTCCACCATGTAAGTGCTACATTCAGTGGGCAAACATTTGTGGTGAGAAAGGAGAGTGTTTGTTTGCACAAATCTTGTTTTGGGGAACAAAGTGGAGGAAAGCAAGTAGGTGACCTGAATGTCTAGAAATTTGGTCTTGAATATGATCAGGATCATTGTAAGAGTCGTGGACAATGGCTCTTGATCAGAAACAATAATAAATAAAGGGATTGAATCAGAGACTGCAGTTTATTATTGATAGAGAGAAACTAGTGGGGACTGGAGTTTACAATACATTACAAATTTATATTTGTACATCACCCTTCATGTCGGGAGGACATCACAAATTGCTTAACAATCGTGGGTTGGCACTTGAGCTGGGGATAGGAGTCAAGTTGGTGGGGGAGGGAATGACCAAAAGCGCAGTATAAATGTAAATCATGAGGTGTACCTTGAGATGAGTGAGGGAGGGAATCTCTGGGATGAAGTTCCAACAAGTGGGAGCAGATAAAAGTTTATTATATAGAGTTTCAGCACCTCGGGACATCTTCCCGCCGTGAAAGGTTCTATAGAAATGTACTTTATTGTTGTTTGTCAGTGCTATGGAGACAAGTGGAGACTGGAGTTAATCAGTGTTGTAGAGACTAGATGAGATTGGAGTTTATCAGGGCATTGTAAAGAAACCAAGGGAGACTAGACACTAGAGTTTTTCAATGATATGGACTAGAGGTGTGGGGGAGTGAACTGAAGATTGACTCATGTGGATAAAATCTCTACCAGAGTTTGGATGGATGAATGGCCTGTTTCTGAGATGCACGTCTGTGTTTCTGTGACTTGGATACTCAGTCGTGAACTTAATAAAACCCAAGTTTGTTTTCTTTATTAGATGTACCTCCATCCAGGCAACGCTTGATGTACCCCCCAAATCCTCAACCCATCAAGGGTAAGTGCTGAGTTATGAACTCCAGTTCCTTGGAAAATGCAATCACTTAAACAATGATTCAAAACACTGATAAGCATTCTGGAATTCTACCCTGTGTGAGTGGCGCTATATAAATGCAAGTTGGCAACTGGCTGGTGCGTTTCGCCCACAAAATATAGTCAAATCACTTTACAGTGAATTGCGGTTAGAGCACTTTGCAAGCGAGAGACCTGGGTTTGATTCCTGGCAGGGTGAAACCTTGGGCAAGCTTCCTTACTCCACACGCCTGATAATAATCCCTCAAGAAAAAAAATGATAAATTGGTCACTTCAATCCATGACTGTTTGTGGGACACTGCTGTGCGCAATTGGCTGCCGCGTTTCGCCCACAAAATATACAGTCAATTCACTTTACAGTATATTCTGTGAAGAGCTTTGAGATGTCTCGAAGACATGAAAAGCGCTATATCAAATGCAAGGATTATTATTATTACAGTATATTCCATGAAGCGCATTGGGATTGAGTGGGACAGCAATGGGATGAGCCAGTCAGCACTCTGTGCAGTTCAATCACTGAAGTGAACAAACTGTCTCACTGTCAGCCCAGGGCTGTGCCCACAACTCAACAAAGCCATCAGAGCTTACTGGCACAAGAGAGGCATGTCTCTCTTTCTTCCCTGTTATTCATGCATGCATACATGCACACACACACGCACACACACACACACACATACATACATACGCACACACAGAAGAGGCATGTATCTCTCTTTCTCTCGGTTTTACATACACACAAATACACACACATAGAAACATAGAACACACACATAGGAGAGACATGTTTCTTTGTCTGTTATACACACACATGCATCCCTCGCTCTGTTATACACACATATACACACACAAACACACACAGGATTAACATGTCTCTTTCACACACAAATACATACACAGGAGAGGCTTTTAGGTTATGATTCCTCTCTCTGTACACTCAGCTCTTTGAGGTTATGGCTACCTGAGTGTTGTGTTTGTTCACAGGGCACTATCGCCCCAAGACTCTGCTCAGAGAACCCCCGTTCTTTCCTCCTGATTTTGTGGCACCCAAAGGATTGCGTGAACCTTCAGTCAGTAAGTGGTTCTGTCAATGCATGAATTTAGTGAACAGACTAGAGACTGATTGTTGGTGAACCACAAAAATAAGTATACAGTGCCCTTCACTGAGAGTGGGTAACATCAGCAACTGGCTCACAGGGACAGGTTTGGACATTGAGCACGGAAAGGGGGGATGGGAGAGAGGTAGGTGGCCATACACGCACTCGCAGTGGTAGGATTTCAGGCAGAAAGAGAGGGGATGAGACAGCGTGTTAGGGGGAGGGAGTCCCAGAGGTTAGAGTTATAGGAATTGAAGGCTTAGCCACCAATGGAGGAGAGGGCGGGGCACATGCAGGCTCAGCCTTAGCTGTCTCAGTGATATCCTGCTACTAAACAAGAGAATGGGACTAAATGAAGAGCTCAGTGAGAACAGACACAAGCACAGGCATGATGGGTTGAATGCTGTGTTTAATATTCTTGACTTTCAACAGTGTGAATTCTTTTAAAATTAATTTGAATAGATGCTGGAAGAAGAGGAATATTACATGGTGTAGGGGAGCAAGTGGGAGGAGTGGGTTAGATTCTCTGACAGTCAGTCTATCACTGACCGTCAGTCTGTATCTGACAATCAGCCGTCTGATTTTCCCTACCCTCCGCCCCTCCTGGTCACTTAAGCGCTCCGAGACGATGCCCAGGGTGAAGGGTGCAATATAAATGCAAGTTGTTGTTATTGATCCCAATCCCCGGCTAGGGTCAAAATCCCTAACTGTCCAGCGTCTTAGGACATCATCCCGATGTGAAATGTGCTGTGTCAGTGTAATTTGTTGTTGATTTCTGAAAATCAGTCTGTCTCTGATAATAAGTCTGTCTTTGAGTCTCTGCTGGTCAGTCTGTCTCTGATAATGTCTGTCGCTGATTCTCTGACAGTCAGTCAGTCTGTCTGTTATGTGTTTGTACAGTGTGCCCGATGCCCGAGTTCAAGGCTCCACGATGTCCATGGCAACCTAGAGCAGGAAAATTCAAACAGCTGTTGCCAGGTAAGTGCTACCATTGGCAATGCTAGGCCTGAGACGTAAAGCAGTCACTGAAGCAAACTCACTGACACAGTAACTGACTGCCGGCCCAGGGTCTGGGCACGGGATGAACCCATTCATATAGGTCTCAACCAGGCCACTGTCACCGGCCTGTCTCTCTTTCTCTCTATTTACCTGTCTCTCCTCACATAGGCAAGTCCTATGTCTCTCATGCTCCCCCCCTCTCTCACACACAGGAAACTAACCTAATAATACTTGTATTTTTATTTAAAGTACTGTATATAATTGAACACTTCAGGTTTCAAAACCTGTATCTTGGCCACCAATTGGTTAAGCAGCCTGGTTAGCTACCAACAGATACAACGTTGAATTTAACTGAGTTCTCCAGCATTCCACTGTACATTGCTGAACTGAATCCGGTCAAGGTAGTATTTGTGCTTTTCTAGTTGTACTTGAACTAGATTGATGGTATGGACTGGTGCTAAGTATACTGTCTGGTGTTGCTGGTGGGGGGAGTTTAATTCTCAGTGTGGCGTGTGTGTGTGTGGGAGGGAAGTGGGGTGGGGGGTGGGTGTGGCGGTGGGGGAGATCGGTGCTCAGTGCGGTGAGGAACACTTCATTTTTATTCTCTCTCTGTTGCCAGGTCTCCAAATATCAAGCCAGGAGTTAAGGGATTTGGACATTTCTGGTCAGTTTGCACTTGAACCGCCACCTAAAGAAAGGTTGAAAGACAAGAGTAAGTTCTTCAATGGAGATGCATTGAATATATAGTATTGGGGTAATAACAATATAATAATATAATATATAATATTATTATTATTATTATTGAGGTAATAGACAGTGAAGTACTTCAATAGTGATTGGACAGGCATTGGAGGCCAGTCCTGATTGGTCAGTCAAGGTCAGTCCTGATTGGTCAGTCAAGGTCAGTCCTGATTGGTCAGTCAAGGTCAATCCTGATTGGTCAGTCGAGGACAGTCCTGATTGATCCCTTTCTGTCAAGGTTGCCTCCCAGCTTCGTTCTTTCCTCTCCTCCCACTCCCTCCATGAGCACCTGCAATCGGGTTTCCGTACTGCCCACAGCAAGGAAACTCAAGGTCACAAATGACATTCTGACCACGTGTGACCAGGGCTCCATCTGCCTCCTCTTCCTCCTCGACCTCTCCGCCGCTTTTTCAATCCTCCTCCACTGCCTCTACTCCCACCTCAACCTCCAAGATTCTGTCCTTGACTGGTTCAGGTCCTACGTTTCACACCGCCTCCACTTCGTCTCAGCAAACGGCTTCTCCTCCAGCCCCCGCACCATCTCGTGCGACGTTCCTCAGGGCTCTGTACTCAGTCCCCTCCTCTTCACCATCTACATGCTCCCCCTTGGTGCCATCATCCACAGACATGGGATAAGTTTCCACATGTATGCAAATGACACCTAACTCTATCTCTCTGCCTCCACCCTGAACTCCAGGACTACTGGGGTCTTGGTCGACTGCCTGTCTGACATCAAGACCTGGATGAGGGACAACTTTCTCCAGCTGAACATCAGCAAGTCCGAGGCCCTCCTGATTGGCTCCCGCCAGCGCCTCCGCACCTCAGGCGCTGGCAGCATCAGCCTCCACGGCTACATACTCAACCTTACTAAGCCAGTCAGGAATCTGGGTATTTGACCCTGAACTGTCTTTTCTCCCCCACATCTGCGCCATGACTGGCACTGCCTACCACTACCTCCGCAACATTGTCAGACTCCGCCACTGCCTCACCCTTCAGGCTGCCAAAACCCTCACCCACGCATTTGTCACATCAAGGCTCGATTACGGAAATTTCCTCCTCATCGGCCTTCCCAACTCTTCCCTTCGCAAGCTACAGATCATCTCAAACTCTGCAGCTTGTGTACTCTCACACCCCAGGCTCCGTGACCCCATCACTCCCACCCTTGCCTGACTCCAGTGACTCCCCACCCCTCAGTAAGATTGAATTCACGATCCTCATCCTCACTTTCAAGGCCATCCATGGCCTTGCCCCCTCCTACTTCTCTGACCTGCTGACTCCCTACCAACCTGCCCGCTCCCTCCATTCAGTGGGCTCCATGTCTCCAGACTGACCCGCCCTTCCATTGGTGGCTGAGCTTTCAGCTTCTTTGCCCCCACACTCTGGAACTCCATCCCACAGTCCCTTCACCTCGCTTCCTCCCTTGTCTCCTTCAAGGTCGGTCTCATGACCCTCCTCTTCGATCATGCCTTCGGTCACCCTCCCAACTCTCTGCCTCCCCTTACCCCTACCCCACCCCTCCCCCATGCTCGGGTCCTGATCCCCCTAACTGTCTAGTGCCTTGGGACGTCCTCCCGACGTGAAAGGCGCTCAATAAATGGAATCTTGTTGTTGTTGTTGTTGTTGTAGCACCGGGATATCCTCCCGACGTATAAATGTAATTTTGTTGTTGTGGTTATAGTCACTCAAGGACAGTCCTGATTGGTCACTAAAGGTCAGCACTGACTGCTCTCATGAGGTCAGCACTGACTGGTCCCTCGAGTTGACCCCTTTGAGGACATCTTCAACACATTGAATGTTTGTTCATCTACTTAAGAAGCGTGAAGAACTGAACGAGGGTAACCGTGGCACCTTTCCCAGCATCTCTCTCTCTCGTCTGTTCAGAGCAGGCAGCGGCAATGGAAGCAGCAAAGGCAGCAGCGAAGTTAGTGGCTGACCAGGCTGCGGCTAAAGCAGCAGCAAGCATAATCCCTCCACTAGCACCACCCATAGGTTCATCATCACCACGGAAAAAATGCCCACACCTGGGGACCACTTTTGCACTTAAGGATCTAACTATTGACTACGCACGTAAGTTACTTTATATGTGTGTGTGTTGCCATCACACCATTCTACACTTGCCATTCTGTCACGCCATTACTCCATCATTCTGCCCGCCATCACTCCATCATTTTGCCCTCTATCACTCCATCATTCTGACCTCCATCACTCCATCGTTTTGCCCTCCATCACTCCATCGTTTTGTCCTCCATCACTCCATCATTCTACCCTCCAGCACTCCCTCATTCTACCCTCCATCACTCCATCATTCTGTCCTCAATCACTCCACCCTCCATCACTCCTCCCTCTGTTATTCTGTTTTCCGTCACTCCATCCAATGGGATTTCCACTCCGTTGGCCATGGTCTACAAAGGGTGGGGTGTCCCAGAGATAACTGCTATTGGAATTTGAGTACTTATTAATGAATCCCATTGAGAATTCCCATAAATAAGATCAAGTAATCACACGGACAGATTCCTTAAACAATCCACCTCTCTATTTTTGTTTGGTCAGCGGGGTGTCTGACACATGCAGAAACCCATCACCGTGCTTAAGAGTATCCAAACCAAACAGAGAATTCCATGCATCCCACCTATACATGGAAATTACAGAGACAGATTGTTGGAATGGAATAATCCACATCTGTAAAATAATCTACATCTCTAAAACAACAACCCTTTCAAACCATCCCTGGGCCTTTGTCACACCACCGGCAATCTGATACTGTCAGCGCTGAAAGTTGCTGCTGTGACAAAGTGTGACTGAGTGTTCTGTTTAATGACAGCATTGCCTCCAGTTGCCCAAGATCCCAATGCCCCCGGAGCTCACAGCAGACCACCATCGAGAGTGCAGACCAATTGTAAGTTACTTTTTACCTTGTTTGGTCAGCTGGGTGTCTGACGCACATGGAAATCCATCGCCATGATCAAGATGATGTTCAGAGTGTTACTGTTCCGTGTTTACTACTACTAATAATCCTCACATTTCATATAGCGCCTTATCCCGGCTTTGAGACGCTTCAAAGCACTGTATAGAATATACTATAAAGTGAATTGATTGTAGATTTTGTGGGCGGAATGCTAATGACTAATGAGTGCCAAAGGACCAGTATAGTGAGGGTCCGCTTACACCGAGGGCCCACAAAAACACAAAGTGCAGTTCACTTCCAGCACTGACTGGAAAGCTATTGCGCACATTTGCATCGCGTAGGAAGTGACATCAACAGCAACCCAATGACCTGGAAGTGCTGACCAGCATCCTCTTATCGTGTGTGCCCCCACCCCATCATAACTGGGATTGGTCTGTGTCAATCTTCCTGTGATGTGTAGCGCGTGACTGTTCTGTGTTTGATGACAGTGCCTTCACCAAGTGCCAATGTGCCATTCCTGGAGGCCGGCCCTTTCACGGACTGGACCACAACATGGAAAGCACCTCCTGACAGTAAGTTGTATGAAGAGGAGAGACTGGCACAATTTGTTCACTGGAGCTATGGCCATTCCATTCCCTCCTTTCAATTATTTCTCATCAAATAATTATCAAGTTACGTTTAAGATCTTGTTTATGGCCCCAGCCTCAACAATCGCTTGAGGGAAAGCATTCTATACTCTACCAACCCACTGCATGAAAATGTTTCTCCCAACATTGCCCAACTTTCAGAGACAACTTCCTGAGCATAAGTGCTTTGAGCTTCTTCATTTCCAAGACGAGAATAGAATATTCTTTCAGTATTTATTCTAACAAAACTTTTTTGGGAATTTTTGAAGGTCTCGTTCAGATCTCCTTTATCCAAACTGATCTTCAGTGATCGTATGATGGCACATGCTTTGCTGGGAGCCGGACTGTTATAACATGGCGATCAGACCAATTTGTAGTGCTAACCAATATCCACTTTTCAATGTGTCTCTTTATAACGTGGTGTCTGAGCTTATGAATTCAATCCATTGCAATGTAATGGGTTCAGTATATATAAGTCCTGCCTGGTATCAGCTATAAATTTATAGGGTACTCAATTCGCTAGGACACTAATGTCCTTCCTATAATGTAATTAATGAATGTTCAGACGTACACTGCGAGTTCTGGAGCCGAACCAGAGCAACAGAAATTCTAATCCCTATTAAGAAATGCATCGGCAAACATTACCTATTGGTATCTATTGGTCCTGAGGGACATTTTTTTGATGTATAACACCACTGACAGTGTTGGATTTCTTGTGATGTACAAAGTTTAACCGAGTTCTCCATTTAATCACAGTCTTGCCAATCAACGTTCGACCACCGAGTGTTCAAGGTGAGCTTAGAAAGACCATAAGAATTTGTTAGGTGAAAGAAGACCAAGATCCATTTAGTTCGCCTTTCATCATCCTGGCAGTCGCTTGACATGCCGTGACTCAAACTATACACTGTATCCCGAGATATTATTTTCTAGCAGAAATGTTTCTCATCTGTTCTTGAAACAAATGACATTTTCTGCTTCCACTGTCTCCCTAGGAGCCTGTTCCATAAGCTTACTACTCTCTCACTGAAGTAGTGTTTCCACAGATATGTTCTGAATTTACCCCCCTTCAGTCATAGGCCGTGTCCTCTAGTCCTACTGTTCAGTACAAGATAAAACAGCTTTCATAGTCTACTTTATCTATTCCCTTCAGTATCTTAAAGAAAGGAAAGAGTTGAATTTGGGAGACATTCTAGCTCCTGTAGCTAGAGCCTGCCAAGTTGGTGGGACCACCCTCTCCATATGGGGAAGAGACTGACAGACAATTAATGTGATTTTACATTGAAGATTAGGAACATGAGTAGGGCATTCAACCTGTTCCATAGTTTATGGCTGATCTGTACCTCAACTCGAATTACCGGTCTTTGCCCCATATCCCTTGATACCCTGACCTAACAAAATTCTATTCACCTCAGTCTTGAAAATTTGAATGGATCCAGAATCCACAGCCTTTTGAGGGAGAGAGTTCCAGATTTCCATCACGCTTTGCGTGAAAAAATACTTCTTGATTTCACTCCTAAATGGCCTAGCTCTAATGTTAAGATTATGCCCCTTGCTCTAGATGCCCCCACCAGAGGAAATAGTTTCTCTGTATCTACCCTATTGAATTCCTTTAATAATAATAATAATCATCCTTGCATTTGATAAAGTGCTTTTCACATCTTCTGGACGCCTCAAAGCGCTTCACAGAATAGACTGTAAAGTGAATTGACTGTATATTTGAGGGCGAAATCATTTTAGACACCTCAATCAGATCAAACTTCTAAACTCAAGGAAACACAGACCAAGTCTGTGTCTGTACCAAGTTGACAGCATATGTATTTAACACTGAGGTTTAATGCATTCTCTGTTTTACGACAGGTCCACCACAAAGTCCAGACTGGACCTTATTGCTTCCCCAAGGTATGCGTTAGACAGAACAACAGGTGTATTTGAAAGAGATTTGAAGTTCCTGGAGTTGGAGCTCCAGGCTGTAGCATTCCTTATTCTCTTAGTCTTTCCTTCCACAAACAAAAGTTAACCTGAATGTATTGATTTTCTGGCGCCCTCTTTCCTGCTTATCACAATCTTGGTGCTGACCTGCCATGTTTAGATGCTCAAAATTTCATCTAGTCTTAGCCTGTGAAGCCAATTTGTCTTAAAATGTAAGGTTTTTCGCAATTGTGAAGATTCAGTCTTAATTTGGAACCATGGAAAAGAAAAGGCTATCAAATCAGTATTTAAGTCAGTTCTGCACAATCCATTTTAAACAGAATTTACTTCACAGTCTAAGACTTGGTGAAATTCCAGGCTGTATACAATGGGACTGATAGTGGGACCGGCAATGAGTGCAAGGCAGACTCTTCACTTCTCATCTTCTGTCCTGTTCCTGCTGTCTCTGGATTAAGCTCTGAGTCCCAAAGGTTGGTTGTGGTATCCAAAATATATAAGACTGGTAAGACAGCAGCTCTAACATGAGAGAAAGTCCTTGAGGAGATCAGATGGTTCTCTGGGCCACAAATGCCTTACTTTGCTAGAAGAAAGTTTCTCCCAGTGTCCTAATCAACAATGCTCTACATACATCCTTCACACTTCATGGGTATTTGTGGGATCTTGCTGTATGCAAACAGGCTGCTGCATTTGCCTACAGTCACTTGACAGCAGTTACTGTGAAACGCTTTGAGAATGTTTTGATGTGATACAATACAATAGAATACAAAATTACATTCATATAACGCCTTTCAAGTCGGGAGGACGTCCCAAGGCACTGGACAGTCAGGGATTTGGACCTGAACTGGGGGTTGGGATCAGGGAAGGTGGAGGGCAAGGAGGATGGCTCAGTCAAAGAGGAGGATTTTGAGACATGCCTTGAAGGAGGCAAGGGAAGGGGCAAAGTAAAGGAGTTCCATAGGGTGGGGGCGGAAAGGCAGAAAGCCCGACCGCCAGTGATGGGCTGAGGTGGGCCGGGGAAGTGGAGCAGGCCACAGCCTGCTGAGTGGAGGGAGCGGACAGGTTGATATGGAGTCAGCAGGTCACAGAGGTAGGGAGGGGCAAGGCCGTGGAGAACCTTGAAGGCAAAGATGAGGATTTTGAACTCTATCCCCTGGGGGATGGGGAGCCTGTGGAGCTGGGCGAAGGTGGGGGTAATGGGGTCATGGAGCCTGGTGCGGGAGAAGACCCAAGCTGCAGAGTTCTGGATGATCTGCAGCTTGTGGAGGGAAGAGTTGGGAAGGCCGAAAAGCAGGGATTTGGCGTAGTCGAGCATAGATGTGATGAATGAATGGTTTAGGGATTCTGTGGCCTGATAAGGTAAGTAAACAAACCAGAAATAAGCCTTGAATCTGAAAGTGAATTGAAGGTCCAGGGGATTGAGGGCCATGGGAAGTTGGATGCTAGCTCACAAACATGAGAAGATGAGAGGTCCTCTTTCAGGTCATCACTAACTCCCTTGCCTCACTTTGTCATTACATGACAACAACAACAACAAATTACCTTTGTAGAGCACCTTCACATTGAGTGGACGTCCAAAAGCACTGGACAGTCAAGGATGTACACACCTGAGCTGGGGTTTGGAATCAGGAGGGGAGGAGGTCAGGGAGAGGGAGGGTGATAGGAAGAAGACCGAAGGTGCAGTTGAAGAGGAAGATCTTGAGACTGGTCTAGAAGGAGGCAAGGGAGGGGTGGTGGGTGCGGGGGGGTGAGGCAAAGGGACTCTGGGATGGAAAGGACAGTTGAGGGATCAAACAAGACGCCAAAGTGATAAGGTGCAATAACATTGTGAATTCTTTCTAATTGTGTTCTCTGTTTAATAACAGTTCAACGAAAAGGACATCTCAGTAAGTAAACAAACCAGGGAGAAGCCTTGAATCTGAAAGTAAATTGAAGGTCGACGGGATTGGGTGCCATAGGGAGTTGGCTGCTGGCTCATAAATATGAGAAGATCAGAGGTCCTCTTTCAAGGCCATCGCTAACGCCCTTGCCTCAATTTTTCATCTCGTGACAACAACAACAAATTACATTTGTATAGCTCCTTCACTTTTGGTGGATGGCCAAAAGCACCCAACAGTCAAGCTGGGCTGGGATTGGGATCAGGAACGGAAGAGGGCAGAGAGAGAGGGGGGGATAGGAGGACGACTGAAGGTTCAGTCAAAGAGGAAGGTCTTGAGATGGGCCTTGAAGGAAACGGAGGGACGAGGTGAAGGGACTGTGGGATGGAATTCCAAAGGGAGGTGGCAGAAAGTAACATAACACAAAAAGACTTATTTTAATTTTAACTGTTCAGTGTTTGCATATTAAGGAGAAGGTACAGACTTTGCAACATGTAGCTGGGACAATCTGTTCCACATGAGAGGTCAGAGGTGGACCCACCCTCAGAGCTTTGACATCAAAATTGTGGGTCAAGAATAAATGTATTTCAGAATAGTCCTCAACATGGACTTCTGTCCCTTTAGCCTTGGGCACTGCTCAACAATGTCATATAAACAGACACTGAGGATTCAGCATTGTGGCACTGAGCTGAATTTGATGTGTAAGATTTAACTGTGTTCTCTCCTTAATGACAGTACTGCCGGATACACCTCATTTCACTTTGACCCCAACCCCAAAACGTTTCCAAGGTAAGCTGTAGAGGAGAAAAGTGAATTTGGAAGCTAACTAGAGCTCGCTTGGCCTGCCACATATGTCTGAGGTCTCTAGCCTCAGCTTAACATGTGGGTCTGAGCTTCCTAGCCAGGGCCTAACAGTGGGTTTGAGGATCCTAATCTTGGCTTGGAGTGTCAGGCTAGACTATGAGTTCAAAGATTTGACATGAAATTTCAACCCCCAATCTTCTGATTTACAGGCAAGATTGCTATCATTGCTACATTGCCCCAGGCTGACACAAAGAAAGAATTAAGAGATTAGTGAAATATAGATATAGAGAAAGTGATCTATCTATAGGAAGACAGAAAGAGAGAAAGTTAGAAAGAGTGGGAGGGAAGGGCCGAGTCAGAGACGCCAAAAGAGAATCAGGAAGTGTGAGGTAAAGAAACTGATGTGTGTAGGAGTTGGGAACATCAGAGCATAAAAATGGTGGGAATGAAAATTCACATGTTTAAGACTCTTGGAATCCATAGTCTGCAGTGCAGGTGGTGGGCTGCATAATCAGAAGTGCAGTGCTGAGGTAGCTCTTGTGGTCAGTGGTGCAGTGTTGGGGAAATTCTGTGGTTCCGAGTGTGTAGACTTGTGACGGACATTCTCCTAGTAAACTGAGCAGCCTCACCTTCAGAGGCCAGGGTTATCAACTTTGACTCAGTTTAAATCCCATGAGAAGATAGCTTATTCACTATCTTCTGCACGCGAAATTCAAACTTAAATTTTAAGCCTGAAATTCCACTCGCTGGACCAGGTGTCCCTCCCCCCATTGGTCTGGCTAGCAGGCGTTTAAGTATATTAATCATTGCCTTTGTTATACAGTAGTTCATCACTATGTTGTCAAAAAGTCTCAAAGTACAGAATGTTATGTAAATGCGGTGACTGTATTTGTGCAGCAAATGTAGCAACAAATGTGTGCACAAACAACTATAAAGTTCAGTGACCAGTTTTATCTGGCGAATCGACCACAGGAGAACCTCCCTTCTCTTTTTGAATAGTTCAGTGGGATCTTTAAAGTCCTTACTCAACACTAATACTTAAGTTGTTGTGCTGTCAGTATTCCAGCTGCTTCTGATGCAAAATATTAATAAGAGACTTTGCTTTACTTGTCACTCCCTTTAATATTTAACTCGTTGGATTGTAGAAATTCTTATACTGTAATGCAAAACTCATCATTAGACTACTTAACTTAGCATCTAACTCACTACTCTGGTTTTCTATATTGTATTAACTCCAGATTTTTATTAAAAAAATAAGGCAAAGCACAATATGTTTTTTTGTCCCAAGTCTCAAGTACTTGTTTTTATTCATTATCAACTGATACACTTTTCTTATGTAGCAACATGGCATTTAGACAGGGACATTCGATGCTTCTTCAAGGATTCACTAAGACGCCTGTTGTTCTTTGTTTTCAAATTGTTATCCATGTCTTCCCGAGGCCTGTAGTAGCGTTTAGGGAGCACAGTCTTCCGTATCCTCCTCCTGTAGGTTGAAGGGTGGGTTCTTCGACTAATCCTCCTTCTTTGCCTTCCCCGACACCTAGTTTTCCTCATCTTTCTTCCACGTCGTCTGCGGGGGCGACTGCGCCTGGAACGATATCTTAATTTGGCCATGGTTGTTTTGACTTTGACAACCGGTTGAGTCCAATCACGTCAATTCGAGATTTGTTAATGAACATTTGCCCCGGTCAGGTACCTTTTTATTGAGTGGGACCGTGATTGTTGAATGACCTAGCGTATTGGTATTGATTATGATGTAAGTTAACACTGCCTTATAAGGTATTGCTATGCACCTCACCGCTCACTTTGTGCACCCTTTGGACACTCACCACTCATCGACTATAATTTCATACCATATATGGTCAAATTAATATGGCCACGTGGCTATCAATTTTCACTAGTCCCTGTTATGCTTCCTCCCTGCTCGCTTTACTGTCCACACCCACTGTTAGCTTCTCTTCTGCTTGACCTAGTGCATCTCCACCCGTCCACACCAGAAGAGGTGGAAGTGGGGGCATTCGCATACATATGCAGGAGACGAGTCTCGACCAATCGCTAGCCCACTTGCTCATGCCTGAACACAACACGTACATGCCCCTTGCCAGCACTAGACTGCAACCTTATGTACCATAAACACTTCTAACCCTCGCAACAGCTATTCTGTCCCCGGTACTCCAAATCTTACGCCAGAGCCAGCCATCCCGCCCCCAACACACCAACTGATACACCTTTCTTACAAAGCAATATGGCATTCAGACAATCACACCCTCAGGGGCATTCGATGATTCATTTAAAAAAATATTTTATTAAAAAAAATATTTTGTCACTCAATCAATCCATGACTGTGAGACACTTATAATTTAATATACAGTATATTCTTTGAAGCGCTTTGAGACATCTCGACGACATGGTGATGTGCAGTATCAAATGCAAGGATTATTAATATTATCCGTGAAGACATCTGTTCTTTGCTTTCAAATTAGTATCCAAGTCTTCCCGAGGCCTAGAGCTGCATTTAAGATACAAATTCTTCGGTACCCGCCTACTGTAGGTTGAACGGTGGAGAGTACGACAAATGTAGGTCTGAGAGTCCTAGCTTTGTCATAACACGTAACTCTGAGGGTCCTACCCCAGCCTAACATATGGGTCTGAGGGTTTCAACCTCGACCTGACACAAAGGTCTGAGGTATCCTCACAGCCTCCTGCTGGTATTGGGATTCTATTTGGAAATCGAGCGACTTCAGGACTCTGATCATGTTGACTGGCACCTGGTTGAAAGGTTACTTTTGGGCGCTGTTACAATTCCCTCGATAAATGTCTCTGCTTATGGAACCAAATACTTGCTGTGTTACTTACACTTGACAATAATTTACTGTAAAGAGTTGGTATCAATGTGGTACAGTGCAATGAAAATGCAAGTTTCTACCCTTTCTAATTATTTTCTCTGTTCAATAATAGCTCACCAACATGTAGATTTAGGTAAGTTCTAGATAAAGAACCTTCGAATTTGAAAGAGTTGAAACACCAGGACTTTGCAGTCTACATACCGTTGTTCCACGGTCCATCAACAATTGGGCCTCAGCTCCTCTGCCTCCACCCTTTGGAACTCCAGCCCACAGTCCCCTTGTCTTGCTCCCTCCCTTGCCTCCTTCAAGGCATGTCTCAAGCCTCTCCTCTTCGACCGGGCATTTGGCCATCCTCCTACCAATATCCTTCATGCCCTCCACCTCACCTGATTCCAACCCCCTGCTAAAGACTAAATCCCTGACTTTCCAGTGGCTTGGGATGTTCTCCTGACGTGAAAGGTGCTTTACAAATGTAATTTGCTGTTGTTAGTCCAGGGTGAGCTGCAGTAGGGGAGATAGAATGTGCATTCAAACCTTCACCTAGCTCACAGGAGAAATCCAGATCACAGCCATGTCCATTCTATCTTATTTCCCCTCAAAGAGATGTGCTTTTTCCATTGCCATGTTTCCAAATCTTCTAATTCTCTCCCAGTCCAAGATTCCTTTAGAAATTTTCATTAAATTTCTTAAGAAATATCAGGACTTAAACTCACAAGTTCACTCAAGCGAAGGACAGGGCAACGCTGCATTGTGGGCATCGACTGGACTGTGTACCTGACTGCTCCCCTTGCCTTATTTAGTTATCTCAGGACACGTAATAGCCTTAATGTTTCTTTTTATTTGTTTTCGAACAAATGTATTACAGAAATAATCAGCAACCTGTTCCTTTAATTGTGCATCTTAAAAAAGGTGTCTATGCACACTTGAGGTAAGTGGCTTTGAACATTACTGGCACTTAGATGTATTTGATGTGTGAGCTTTAACCTTGTTCTCTGTTTGATGTCAGATGTGTCAATAAGTCCCTTTTTCGATACAGACTGGGAGGCAGCGAGCAATGCATACAATACAGGTCAGTTCTAGACAGAGAAAAGAGTTGGAGCTCAAGGAGGATGTGTGCTGTGCAATGATATGCTATTTGCAGGTGGTGGTATGGGGAATGAGGGGAACGTTGATTTCTAAATTTATGCAAGTTGCACAGTTCATGTCAATAGTACTGAGTAGGAATACGAGTGCAAAACAGAAACAACTCACAATATGTAGTGCCTTTCATATTGATTAATATCTGATAATGGTTAAAGAGATGGAATGGAACCCCGCCTGATCCCAACCACCAGCTCAGGTGCGGATCCTTGACTGTCCAGCGCCTTGGGACATTCTCCTGACATGAAAAGCGATGTACTAATGTAATTTGTTGTTGTTGAAAGGTGGGAAATAATACTATAATAATCGGTAGATTGGTGATAGCTCCTTCACGTCAGGAGGACGTCTCAAAGAGCTTCGCAGGATACACTGCAAAGTGTATTGACTGTGTGTTTTGTAGGCAAGTAGAATTCAGGCAATGGGAGGGCGTGGACGGAAGAGGCAGGCCTTGTAAAATAGAAGAAGAGGTTGGGTGGTGGAGAGATTTGGGGAGAAGATTTTTTTCGATTTCCTAACATAGCTGATGAAAGTCTTTTCCCCCTTTTCCAGGTTGTGTGGGATAAACAAGCTCACACTGAACCCCCCACTGAATCTGCAATATGTAAAGTACATGTGCAATGACTCCGCCACCCTCTCTTAATTCTCCAAATTCATACAGACGTGGACTTAATTCTCTAGGTACAGTAATGTTGAAAAATGCAACTTTCGTGAATTACGATGATCCGCACGGACTGCGTAGAATGATCAGAGACGCATTGGCACCAACCTTACTTGCTCAAGAACACGCTGCTGGTTGCTGCTCACCTCCAAACCAACAGCCCCACAGAGACGTCCTTTATTCGCCTGCCCAAAGGTCATCACATTGTGGACTTGTCGTCAAAAAGAAAATGGTCACCAGACACTTTTCAATCAATAAAGCGATGAGAAACCAGAAAGACGTCTCTCTTATATCTGTGCGTTTCCTTCTGACTTATTCTGCATATATTAATGATAATAATCCTTGTATTTGATATAGCGCCTTATCCCGTCTTCAAGCCGTCTCAAAGCGCTTCACAGAATATACTGTAAAGTGAGTTGACTGTATATTTTGTGGGCAAAATGCAGTAGCCAATTCCGCATATCATGTCCCACAAAGAATCATAAATTGAGTTACCAAATTATTATTAATTTACTTATATAATTTTGGAGGAATTATTACCCCCAAAAAAGTGATCTGCTAATGACTAACAAATGGGTTCCTAATTACTAGGTAAACAGAGGTGTGTGGAGTGAGCAAACTTGTCTAAGGTTTCACCCTGTCCGGGAATTGAACCTGGGTCCTCGCTTGTGGGCGAGTGCTCTAATCGGTACGCTTCAGGACACCAATTCTAGCCTCCAACCAGTGATTTTAATTTTTCTGATATTACTTTGCTTGCAAAATTATGATGTGATAATATTAATAAATTATGACATGATAAGGTGCTGTAAGCACTCCGGAATGCTACCCTCATGAAGGACGCTCTTTAAAAGCAAATTGATGTTGTCAATGCAAGGATTATGATTACTATTGCCTTCATTAGTGTTTTGCTCATTGTCTTGCTGCGTTATTCCTGAGAATGGCAGAGTGTATCAAATCATAGCATCCTCCATGGAAAACCAGTGCCATTTAAATACCGTTGCCTGTCCAGAATAGGAGTCACCTCAGTAGCCTTCTGGCCCCAGTGACCTTTCTGCTCACTTAAGTACTGCCAGCAAGCCAGCCTGGCTGGTCTGTCATCAGCACTGCCTTGGAGTACTATGGACCTTTCTGGCTTTGACCTGCACGGAGGCTAACTTGATTCCAACATCCCCTTCCTAAGCATGTTACCTTGGAGCCAATTCAGCTCAATGAAACCCTGCTTACCTTCCTGAGATATAACAGAAAAAGTACTGTATTTCACATTCTCTCAGTTTCCCCCACCCATCTCCAAGGCTGAAGATATAATTGGGCTAAGAAGTTGGATGATCAGTGATTCCAATGGCTCCAGTAAAAATTTGAAACATAAAGGATACATTGTACCCATGTGCAAGCCTTCAAGATTGAAACCTGTTGCTTGGTATCTAGCTTTCCCATGAGTAATAATCCTTTCAAAAAATAATAATATGGTCACTTAATCCACGACTGTTTGTGGGACACTGCTGTAGGGGTGGAGGGTGGGGAAGGGGATGCCATCCAGCACTAGCCAGCAACCATGTGTTAATTAAAGTCGTTAATTTCAGTGCATGTGTTAATTAGCAATACTGGTTGTTAACTAACACATGATTCATATCATAGAATCTTGCAGCACGGAAGGAGGCTGTTCGGCCCATCGTGCCTGTGCTGGCTCTCTGAAAGCGCTATCGAATTTGTCCCGTTCCCCTGCTGTAAATTTTACTTCCTGTTTTTTTTGAATAATCATTTTGTTTAGGAATGAGATGTGATTGTGGCAACTGCCAAGTCTGATTCTGCTGTTCAATGAAACCTCAACATGACCACAGATTTGGTGCGTCCCACAGGTTTATTGAGTTGAACATTGTTCAGTGGCAATTCTTAGCTCTAAGTGATGATCTTGCTTCTGCACAATAACTTCTACCAAATGAACATTGGCCGCCCATCGTTTGTCGATAGGCTCCACAAACAGTTGACCAGCAGGAGCATGTTGGCTTTTATGTTTGCTGGTGCAGATTGGTTGATCATGTTCCGCAGGTAATTTGGATCATTGAGGTTTGCCAGTGATTGAAATTTTGGCTTTTCTTTGAGGATTCCGTAGGCATTCACAATGGTTTCTGCAAATATGTCGTGCACTCCAGGGTTGTAACCTGCATTCTGAAGACGAGCCATGACCTGATTGTTGCGCGTAAGCAATTGATTCCGATGAACTTGGCTTGTTGCAACCTGGAGGAGAAAGATTAATGCATGTGACACAGCACCTCAAACATCCAGACTAAACTGTACTCCATCAAATACTCAAATACTCCAACACTTTACAGCGTCTCAATACCTCAAACTAGCCAGTTAGCAATATCCTGTCCACCATCTCTTATTGTCAATAAGAGTTTGACTGTGGGAGGAATATTGGCTTGGATACTGTAAGAAAATTCTGTGTTATTTGAAATAGTGAAGAGAGATGTTTGACATCCACCTGAAGCACCACAAGCTTTGATTTAAATTCCTATCTAAAGGATTCCCTTTCAACTCCCTCATTACTGCACCTGTCCTACGGTTGAGTACAAGTGATATGCCCTGATGTGGGGCTTGGACCCACCACCTTATGACTTAGGGGTGAGTGAGCCACTGACTGTGGTAAACTGATGTTGCAAATGGATGTTTTGGTAAGTGTTGGTTCCAGTAGCAGTCTCTCTTAAGTTCACACAATGGATGCTGTTCCTCTGTAACATACTGTCAACAAAAGTGAACATTAATGCAGTTCACCTTAAGTGCTTCACAATACTTCAGGGTTAAAGGCTGTGCTTTGATAATGGGAGCCTGCCCCATACATTATCTTGCAACATTCAATAAAACACATGTGCCCAAAGGTCTGCATTTCTCTCTTCTGCCTCTAATTTTCTTGTCAGCTCCACATGAGCTTCACTCACAGGATCTCTTTATCCTTCTGTTCTCTCTTTCTCCCTTCTCTGCACTTTTGACGTCTTTTGTCCATCATGCACTCTCTGCTCTTCGTCACTCTTCCAATCTTTCTTACTCTTCTCTCCACCCTCTCTCTCCCTCTTCGTCTTTCTCCCTTCCAGAGTCTCTCTCTCCCTCTCTCTCTTGAGTTTGAGGTGATATATTTGAGGTTTTTAAAATAATAAAGGTATTCGATAGCTGCAGATAAACTACTTCCTCTGGTGGGGAATCCAGAGCAATCGTAAAATTATGTGTCATAATCTTAAAATTAGAGTTAGGCCATTTAGAAGTGAAATCAGGTGGCAGTTTTTCACCCAAAGGGTAGTGGAATTCTGGAACTCTTTGGCTGTGGCTGCTGGATCCATTCAAGTTTTCAAAACTGAGGTGGGTAGATTCTTGTTAGGTAAGGGTATTAGGGATTATGGGGCAAGGGCGGGTAATTGGAGTTGAAGTACAGATCAGTCATGATCTTATAGAATGGTGGAACAGGTGTGTGGGGCTGAATGGCTTACTCCTGTACCTGTGTTTCTCTGCCACGTATATTACAATTTATTGGTGGTTAGAGTATAATGCCTTAATCCTCTCCTCCATGGAGTCAGCATTGGACCATCCGACTCCTACCCATCCTCCCCTACATACTTTCGTACCCATTTCCCCACCCTCTGTCACCAAACGCATCCTATCCCTGAAACCCACCACCTGCTCCCTAGACCCCATCCCCACCTCCCAGCTCCACCTCCTTGCCCCACATATCACAGACATCGTCAACCTGTCCCTCTCCTCTGGCTCTGTTCCCATTCCCTTAAAAACTGCCACCATCATTCCCACCTTGGAAAAACCCTCCCTTGATGCGTCGCAGCTATCAAGCTACCGGCCCATCTCCAACCTCCCCTTCCTGTCCAAGGTCCTGGAACGAGTTGTCACCTCCCAGCTGCGCTCTTTCCTCTCCAACCATTCATTATTCGAACCCCTTCAGTCGGGTTTCCGTGCTGCCCATAGCACAGAAACTGCCCTGGTCAAGGTCACCAATGACATCCTGACCATCTGTGACCAGGGTTCCCTCTGCCTCCTCGTCCTCCTCGACTTATCAGCAGCATTCGATACGGTCGACCATGCTATCCTCCTCCACCGCTTGTCCTCCCACCTAAACCTTCAAGGCCCTGCACTTGAGTGGTTTAGGTCATACCTCTCCCACCGTCTTCACTTTGTCTCCACGAATGGTTTTTCCTCCGGCCCCCGCACTGTCTCGTGCGGTGTCCCTCAGGGCTCTGTCCTCGGTCCCCTCCTCTTCACCCTCTATATGCTCCCCCTTGGTGACATCATCCGCAGACATGGGGTTAACTTCCACATGTATGCGGATGACACCCAACTCTACCTTTCCTCCTCTACCCTCAACTCCACGACCACCGATGTCCTGACAGCTGCCTGTCCGACATCGAGTCCTGGACGAGAGATAACTTTCTTCAGCTCAACGTGCGTAAAACTGAGGCCCTCCTGATTGGCTCACGTCAGCGCCTCCGCACCTCAGGCGCTGACAGCATCAGCATCCAAGGCTGCACTCTCCACCTCTCAAAGCCAGTCAGGAACCTCGGGGTTCTGTTCGACTCTCTCCCTCATATCCGCGCCACAACTGGCACCGCCTTCCATGACCTCCGGAATGTCGCAAGACTTCGGCACTACCTCACGCTGCTGAAACTCTGGTCCACGCCTTTATCACCTCAAGGCTGGACTATGGGAACTCTCTCCTCGCCGGCCTTCCCGGCACCTCCCTCCACAAGCTGCAGGTCATTCAGAACTCTGCAGCTCGTGTACTGTCCCGCACCAGGCTTCGGGACCACATCACTCCCACCCTCGCTCGCCTCCACTGGCTCCCCATCCCCCAGAGGATCGAATTCAAGATCCTCATCCTCACCTACAAGGCCATTCACGGCCTTGCTCCCTCCTACCTCTCTGACCTACTATCCCCCTACCTACCTGCCCGTACCCTCCGTTCCTCTGGCTCCGGTCTGCTCCACATCCCCCGCCCCAATCGCCCCAACATCGGTGGCCGGGCCTTCAGCCTCTCAGCCCCTAGGCTCTGGAACTCTATCCCCCAGTACCTTCGCCTCCTCCCTTTCCTCCTTCAATGCCGGTCTCAAGACCTTTCTCTTTGACCGTGCCTTCAGCTCCCCTCTCGACTCTCTACCCCCTCCTCGCCCCTCCCTTCCCTCCCCTCACCCTGACCATTTCCCCCCTGCTCGGGTCCTGACCCAACTGTA